CCCCAAAACCCCAAAACCCCAAAACCCCAAAACCCCTTAGAAATTAGATTTATAGAAGTATAATAATAAATCTACAACATGGATATAGAAACAGTGTACAGAAACGTTCCTTCCTTTACGAAATTCTACCTGGCTACCTTCATCATTAACACTTGATTGATCTCTTTCGAGTTGGTTGACTTCACAAACCTGGAATTAGATTTTGAAAAGGCAATCCTGGGGCTACAATTCTGGAGGTTCTTCACATGCTTTGCTTTCTACAATGAGTTCTCGATCTTATTCGTTGTCATCATCGTCCTAACACATGTTTGATTGAGTACGATAGAACATTATTTCAGGAGAAGGATGCAGGATTTTATCTTCATGATTGTCTTTGTATGGGGCTCACATATCCTTCTTGGCTTCCTCCTAGACACTCACCAAGACATGATGGCTGAATTTGTGTGATCCTTCATGTACATCTACTGCAGGCGGGAGAGAGAGGATAGAGTTGAAATTTTCAGAATCGCAATTAAAGCTAGATTCTTTCCATGGGTTTGGGTAGTTCTTTGGAAAATCTCTGGCTACCAAATTATCAAAATCTTAGCAGGATACACCATAGGACATTTATACGACTACTTGAAATTTATAATGCCTGAAACACTTGGCTATTCCTTACTCGAAACTCCTAGTTTCCTTAATTGGTTAGTATCGAAAATGGAAAAGCGTCAGCCCCAACAAGCAAATGAGGTAAGAGTATAATTCAAAACACATTGGGCTTATTTTCAGTAGATTTTTCATCTTTAATTCCCCAAATGACTAACTCTGATTTATCTATAGGTAGACTTGGTTGACCACGGTGATGCTGGGCCAGTAATAGGCTAAATCTTGCTTCCTAAAATATTTCTGGAAAGTATCTCAAATCAAAATCACTAACAAATTATATCTAATAAAATTGCTGATGAAATATTTTGGAAAAGCTGGGGTTTTGGGGTTTTGGGGTTTTGGGGTTTTGGGGTTTTGGGGTTTTGGGG